TCGACCCAGCGGGCAATCAATTCCAAACTCAAATGAAATACTCGAGTGAAATATGAGATTGCCCGTCCTGTCTGGCCGCCTCAGAATCCCACCCCTTTCACATACACCTTCTCGTTCTACCCCTCGTTCGGAGAATAATTCAATTTGTTTGTTGATAAAAAAGGATGGGAAGGGAGAATGAAATAAATTGGGTTTCTTGGATTTTTATTTCTTAAATTTTGGAAAATTTAATTTGGGGATTAGTTGATTCTGAGGGAGATACAATTTTTATGAAGATATTTTGTCTCTTACATTCAAACAAACATTTAAATATCTAATTCCATTTTGGATTCTCATGGAAATGAGGGATTTATCTTAAAAAAAATTTAACAAGAATTATGAATTAGTGAATATTTACCTTAATAATCATTAAACGTTTTATCAATACTCCTCTAATTAATGAATAAAAATCCTATGGAATAAATAAATAAACCCCAAAGGGAACATAATTCCGTAATTCAATAAATTCCCTTCATTTTGAATTATCATCTCGTAGCAATGAGGGATAATTCTTTGAATAACTCACGATTCACTCTGAATATCTCCACCGCAGGTTGCATTAAACCCCATTCACCTCCAAATTCACATGATTATTCCAGTTGGTACCATTGATGGAACATCAGTAACTAATCCAGCGGTTGCATTCCAAAGTTGGTAATCAAGCGCCATTCGAGAGCGTTGATCAAACGCTTTGATCGAAATCGTTCTATCCACTGGTGATTCGTGGTTACGATTAGATGCTCTGTGGGGGGATAATAAAGGTTGGACTTCTGAGTGCTGTGGGAGGATTCGTAGCGCAGCCTTCGTCCCTGTGATTATCGAAATCGGATCGTTCAAGAAGTCAGTACTCAAATGGCTTGAACCACTCATTGGGATAACACCTGAGTGGCTAGGCTATGCGGGGAGGCGCAATAAAAATATTATCCACTGAGAATTTTCTCCGCATTGAATTTTTTTTCAATTTTTCTTCAGAAATCAATTCATAAATTCATCGAAAGGGAACAGATGCGTGAATAAATGAATGAATGTTTCTAAATTTTTATCGAAAAATTTCTCTGGAGAAGGATTCTAACATTTTTCCCTAGAATCGATCATCAATTTCATAAAAATTGAGAAAAAAGTCAATCGAAACCAGCTTTTAATCAAAAAAATCCTCAAGCATTCAATAGAAAAATTTATTCCCCTGAGCGTTCTCATCCCTTTTATCTCTAAATAAACAAAACAATTTTAATTGAAAATGTTTTGAAAGCAATGGGTGTTACATAAACTGTAGATAAAAATTATTGAAGCCACGAAAAGTAGGTAAATAAATGTTGATAATTTTCTCTAAATCAGTATTCCAACATTTTCCCTCAGAATCAATCATCATGATTTCACGAGAAAAAAATCAATCGAAACCATTTTTCAATAAAAAAATCCCCGAACATTCAATAGAAATCTTAATTCCCATAAACTAAAAAATTCGAATTGAAGAAATACAAGAACTTATTCATCCCGTTCGTCTATCCCCGAGCAAAAACAGCATTTTAAAAACTATAGGTGAAACTCGTTGAAGCCACGAAACATAAACAAATAAATGTTCACAAATTACCATAGAAAGTTATCTCTATTCAACATTTCCAAGAAAATCAATTTCCCTCTCAATTATGAAGATTGAATGACAATGCAAAGTCAACATTACCCCCATTCATTCCCAACAATTTATTTCAAACTTTCAGTCATTTAAATATTAACGCAACCCATCATAAATTCCTGAAATATATTCCGCCGAGTAAAATTGCATCCGCGAACTTCTGTTTGAATTTCCCATCCACCTATAAATTTTCATAAATTTGTAAATTGATTGCAACTCCCTCCCCTCTCTCCCTCCCACCCGTCCGGCCCCTCCCAACATTTTTCATTATTTTCGCGGAGAAAACTCTGCCATTTCATCGTAATGAATCTCATCATTTTTTCTCGTCCCCCCAGAAATAAATGAGAACCGGAGAAAATTGCTGTCAGGGGTGTTAAAATTCACCCCCTCGCACTGATATCAATATCAATTTAATTCGAAACTCCTTCACGAATACCTGTTTCTATACCGAGTATTATTTTTCATGAAATGAAACTGTCGCCTCCGGGAAAGATGAGTAATGAAAACATGAAAAATTGTCTCTGCCTCTGGTGAGTGGGAGTTTCACCCTCCTGCAAGAAAACCGGAGGGGCGGGGGGGGGGGCACCACCCCCTCGCCCCCACCCTTCCTTACTCCCTTCTTGCAGTCTCATTTCAAAGTTTCAAAGGGAAAACTAGAAATACTTTAACTCAGAATGAAATTTCGAAAGGTAGGAAATGAGTTGGTGGAAGTTTCCCCCTTCCCCAGCCTGGAAAAATTTGTAATATGAGCTCGACGATGGAATGTATATTTGGTTTTCCAGTTGGTTGAATATCAAACTTTTTTCCTTGGAAATTCTTGTTCATTGATTTTTATTTCTTCTTTATTCGGTGAATTTAAATGAGTTCTATTCATTTAGGAAATTGAAAGACTTCGAATGAAGAGTGCTGAAAACGTCTACTTCAATTTGTTATTCAAAAAATGTGCGTTATGTTTTGAATATTTGAGAGAGAAGGGAGATTTAAGAAAAATGTCAGATCTGCTCGAACGAAACTTTCAATTAATGAAAAAAATTAACGAAAAACAAAACGTAACAGATGCCACTTGTTTCTGACCCCAGCATCTTAAGCGATTTATTGAGTTGCCCCACGAGCGAAGTAGAAAAAAATGTTGTTCAAACTTTTGAATATTGTGAAATACTTCATCAATGATTTTAATTTTTATTTCGCTAAAGATGATAATTATTTCCCCTGAAATATTTTTAATTAAGAATTCTGAAGACATTCCATTTGATTTATTATCTAAAAAATCACCATTACATTTTAAATATCTGAGGAATGATTGAAATTTAAGAAAAATGACAAATTTCTTTTTTAAAAACTCACAATTAATTCTCATAATTAGGGAAAAACGTGTTATTCAAAAGTGTCAATATTATGAAATTCTACTTCAATGATTTTAATTTTTATTTCGGTAAAGATGATAATTATTTCCCCTGAAATACTTTTAATTAAGAATTCTGACGACATTCCATTTAATTTATTATCTAAAAAATCACCATTACATTTTAAACATCAGAGGAATAACTAAAATTTCAGAAAAATCTCAGATCTCTTTTTAAAAAAAACTCAATTAATTCACATAATTATGGAAAAACGTGTTCTTCAAAACTGTCAATATTGTGAAATTCTTCTTCAATGATTTTAGTTTCTATTTGGGTAAAGATGATAATTATTTCCCCTGAAGTACTTTTAATTAAGAATTGTGAAGACATTCCATTTAATTTATTCATCTAAAAAATTACCATAACATTTTAAATATCAGAGGAATAACTAAAATTTCAGAACAAAATGTCAGATCTCTTTTAAAAAACTCTCAATTAATTCTCATAATTAGGGAAAAACGTGTTCTTCAAAACTGTCAATATTGTGAAATTCTTCATCAACGATTTTAATTTGTATTTGGATGAAGATAACAATTTCATGGGAAATCCTTCAAACCGCAAATTCCGAAGACCCCCCATTCACTTGATCACCTAAAAAATCACCATCACATTTTAAACATCCAAAGAATGGCTGAAATTTACGAAGAATGTCAGATCTCTTTTTTAAAAACTCTGAATTAATCCTCATAATTACATGAAAAAACATTGTCTCACCAAACACCACTTGTTCCTGACCCCAGCATCTTAATCGATTCATAGAGTCGTCCGACAAGCACTGAAGGCCCCAAATAGAAGCAAAAGCCGTTTTATTCAAACGTGTCCCATCCTGTGTACACGGTTGGTAAAGTGCAATGGAAAAATCCTCCCCCCTCAAACGCTGTTTGGAAAAGCAATATTGTGAATATGCGATGGAGTGGTCTGAGGTGAAAAAGGAATAAGGGGTGGTTGAGATGAGAAGGGGGTGAGTTTCCCTCCCCCATCGGTAGAGAAGTAGAGTGAGGAATCAATACGTCATTTAGGCTGTTACCATGGTAGCACACAATCCCCTTCTCCTCTTTTACCCCATCCTTCAGACTGTGTTCTCTGTGTTGCAGTTTCACCTGCTACACAGCTCTCTTCCCACCCACAATGTCCCTTGTGATCAAGAAGATGACTGTGTTTATTCACTCGTCCGAACAAAAGTACCATAAACGATGGCGAAAGAATGGGGCATGAGGCTTTAGCAATAAATTTTCCTAGTTTCGAGTTTTAAGCTGCTTAGAATCAACTTTAGTCACTTGAACAAACTGGTTAGGAATAAATTACAGATTTCTGAGGGGCATTTGGGTAACTTGGAAATCTATTGGAGTGGTAAACCCTATTTCTAGGAACTTTATCCCATAATCGAGCAATTTGTTGTACAAGTTAAACAATCGGTGGAAATTGAGGGCTCGGGGATTAAGCTGGCTGAGTGTCACATTAAATCGGTGACAATTAACGAGAGGTGGGTGTTAAGTTGTTGAGGGAGAACTCAAGAAGAAGAGCAGTTTCTTTTTTTTTTCATTTCTCAGGGGGATTGAGGTAAACAACATTTAGGAGATGATGTACGGTATTACTGGACTTCATAAAAATTTAACACAAATTATTAGTGTAAAGTATTGGTCGGAATATTATAAAATTGTTTTTTTTATGATTTATATAAAAAAACAAAAATTGTGTTTCTTATAATTTTTTTCGAATTCATGAACAAAAATAGCATCAGATTTTTCTTTTAAACTCATTAAAATCTCCTCAAAATGCAATCGCAGAATAATTTTTTTAATTATTAAATGATGAATGATAACGAACAAAATAATAGAAAAAATGAACAAATAAAATACTAACCGACAAATATGAATAAATAAAAAAAATGATTTGCAGTAGATATTAAAGAGTTCTTCATGAAATAAAAATGAAAAAAAAATGACATTTATTTTTAAAAAAATCATTAATCTTTCCTTTTCGTTTATAAAATGCTCTACAAAAATATCTTCCGACATTTTCATATGAACCCACTGGTTTCAGAGCTATAAGTTAACGTTATCACCTCCCAAAATAATTAATAACAAACCGATGAAAGACGATTCCCCATTATTTCCCTCCACTATTCAATTTCCAGGCTGGTTGACATGTTTCCTTATCTCCAGTTATTAAATTCACATTGGGCTTTGTACCCTTACGACCACCTACGCAGGTGTATCTGGAATGAAGACAATAGAGAGGAGGAATGAGGGTTTATCGAGTTATTCACGATAATGCAATATTACTTACCCTTTGTCGTATAACGAGCAATATGGTAGACTGAGAGATCTTGCTAATGTCCATAAACTGTCGACTGTCCATCCGTTCAAGGGACACTTAATAACCATTGATGCGATGCCCGTCTGTCTAGCAAGACTGTGATACAGCCCGCTATCTTTATTCCTCGATTTTATTCCCAGTAGTAAAATTTTTATATCTGGGTGAGATGCTTCCAGGCTCTTCGCTCCCTCCTGGGGAAGCTGGTTCAGGGTTATTATGTTGAGATTGTATCTGGAGAGTATTCAAAATTACTCGCGACGGCGCTATTTTAAGCCCGGAATATTCTAACTATTGATAGATTTTTCGAAATAAATGGAAAAAAAATTTTTTTGCAGAGAATTTCAAGGACTACAAGGAATATTTTATGACATTTTTTCGATAAATAATCTGAAGACAATTTTTCAATTTTATTTTTTCTGTGCCATTGTTATTCTACTATCATTCAAGTACTAAATAGTATTTTTTTTTAATGTTTAAAGACGTTTTTTGTTGAGAATTTCAAGAACTAGAAAATGGTATTTCATCACATTTTTTAAATAAAAAAATCTGAAGTCAATTTTTCATTTTGAAGTTCTTTTTTGTGCATTTCTAATTACACAATCTCTTCAGTAGTTGATGACATTTTTTAAAATGTTAGGAGACATTTTTTACAGGAGATTTTACGGAGTAAAAAAAATGTTCCCATATTTTCCTCTACACCCATTAATTTCATGTCTTTCCATTATTTCTCCCCAAAAATAATGAAATAATCACGAAAAATCATCAGAAAAAAATCGTAAATACCTCGATGTAATATCCTTGATGAAGTTCTCAACTTCAGGAAACCACTCCTCATGTCTAAACATTATTAAATTAATTTTGGAGGAATTCCCCAATTGCATCTGTGCTATGTGAGCCAAGTGAAGAAGCACTGTGGACTCTATGCTCCCATCGAAGCAAATTGCTACTTCATTCGACTTCTCGTAGAGTTTCCTGAAGATGAATTACGGGAGAAGTTCAAAAGACGATTTATCGATCACCCTCAGCTTCGAGGGCATTTAATTGGAAAATTGAAGGGTAAATATTACCTGAGGTCCTCCAGAGTCTTCTGGTAAATTTCGCCCTGACAACTTTCCATGAATGCTGAGAATTTTTCATGGGCGTCGATGTGAGGATGTTTGTCGTAATTTATGAAAACCTCTCGTGGGACTAAACTACTGAATCTCTCCTGGGCTTTTAATGTTTCAGCCTCGTTGTCACTCTCTATCGTCACTCTCGCCTTGTAATAGCTGAAATTTATTTTTTATTGAAGAGTTTTCGAAAAACTTCTCGAGAAAAATCGTCACAAAAACTTTCTACTCAATTGATTTCATTCGAATCAAAAGGTAATTAATTCAATTTAATTACCTTTCACCAGTGATAGGATAAGAGCCAAAAGCAACATTTGGAAATTCTCTGGCCACTTTTGTTAAAGCATCTGCAAAAGACTCCTCTTTAGCATCCAGAAATAATTCCCTCTTTACGAATTTCTTTTCTCCTCTGAATAATTCCTGAAAGGTTTCATAATTAATCAACACAAATAAAGATAATTGATAAAAGAAAAATGGAGCTTGATTAATTACTTAATCAATTAATTAATTTAACAATAATTAATTAAATATATTAAATAATACATTTAACATCCTTCATGAACTACTATTTAATATATTGAATAATAATATATTAAATTTTAATAATTAATTGATTAATTAATTTAACAATAATTAATTGATGAAAAATTCACAAAAAAAAATAAAATTAAAATTTCGTTCGAAATTTTTTAATTTCGTTATTGTTAAATTAATTAATTAATTAATTAATTCTCGTCAATTCTGTCAAAAACCGTCATTAAATACCCTGCAGAGACTCTTAAATAATTTCTCCAAATACACTGGAGACCCTGGAAACACATAAACATTCTCGACGTTGACACAAGGGAATTTGAGGGCCTCCCCAGTCTCCTGGTTCTTCCCGAACCTCAGCACAGCCTTCCTGGGGACATGAGCCATCTTGAAAGCCGGCGAATTCTGGTCCTCTGTCCTGTAAACATCCTTGACAATGTCCACAATCGTTGGATGACAGTGCAGAGAGTCGTTGAAGGCCTTCGCCAGCCCCTCGAAGGTCATGTCATCGTGAGTCGGTCCAATTCCCCCGGAAGTTATCACGTATCTGTACTTCTCAGAGAAATCTGTTATCTCTTTCGCTATTGTGTCCACATCGTCACTTATCACTGAGATTTTCTCGACCTTAACGCCACATTCCCAGAGTAATGAGCATATGAAGAAGGAATTTGTGTCCTTCACTTGGGCTTTTAAAATCTCATCTCCAATTACTGCAACGGAAAACAGGAGATTGGGTTCTGCTCAAAATATTGGGATAAATTTTCGCAGGGAATTTAATTCCTGAGAAGATTAATTGATACTCAAATGTCTTATGACATCTGAAAGCCCTCAATGCCGATATAATTACAGAAATATCAAGGGCTTCACATTTAAATGAAATCGAATTTAAATCATTGGTCAATTATCCTCTCAACTAGTGACTCCAGAAAAAAAAATTATAAGACGTTTTTGTAGGAAATTTAATGCTCTACAAAAAAAATCTTTTGACATTTTTTCCTAAACCTGCTCATAACCGAGATAAACGCAAAAATAAAGAAAAATTCTAAAAAAGAGTGATTAAAACACTCCAATAAATCCGCTCACTAATTAATTTGGCATTGGATTTGATCCCAGACCTATCAAATGACCTTGCAGTAATACTGGTATATGTTCTCAGACGACTAATAAATTTAAAATGTCTTATAATGTCTTTTTAAACCATTCATTACCGACAAAATTATAGAAATATCAGAATCGTATTTAAATGAATGATCAATCATCTCCTTAACTAGTGACTCCAGAAAAAAAAATATACGACGTTTTTGTAGGAAATTTAATGCTCTACAAAAAAAATCTTTTGACATTTTTTCCTAAACCCACTCATAACCGAGATAAACGCAAAAATAAAGAAAAATTCTAAAAAAGAGTGATTAAAACACTCCAATAAATCCGCTCACTAATTAATTTGGCATTGGATTTGATCCCAGACCTATCAAATGACCTTGCAGTAATACTGGTATATGTTCTCATACGACTAATAAATTAAAAATGTCTTATAACGTCTTTTTAAACCATTCATTACCGACAAAATTATAGAAATATCAGAATCGTATTTAAATGAATGATCAATCATCTCCTTAACTAGTGACTCCAGAAAAAAAAATATACGACATTTTTGTAGAAAATTTAATGCTCTACAAAAAAAATCTTTTGACATTTTTTCCTAAACCCACTCATAACCGAGATAAACGCAAAAATAAAGAAAAATTCTAAGAAAGAGTGATTAAAACACTCCAATAAATCCGCTCACTAATTAATTTGGCATTGGATTTGATCCCAGACCTATCAAATGACCTTGCAGTAATACTGGTATATGTTCTCATACGACTAATAAATTAAAAATGTCTTATAACGTCTTTTTAAACCATTCATTACCGACAAAATTATAGAAATATCAGAATCGTATTTAAATGAATGATCAATCATCTCCTTAACTAGTGACTCCAGAAAAAAAAATATACGATGTTTTTGTAGGAAATTTAATGCTCTACAAAAAAAATTTATTGACATTTTTGTCTAAACCCCTTCATAACCGAGATAAATGCAAAAATAAAGAAAAATCCTAAAAACGAGTGATTAAAACATTAATAAATCCACTCACTAATTAATCCGGCATTGGGTTTGGTCCTAGATCTACTGAATGACCTTGCAGCAATACTGGCGTATGTCCTGAGATTACTGACTGATAAATTACGAAGCAAGTACTGACAGATTTGCAACATCTTCAACACTCGATCCACTGACTCACAGAGAGAAAACTACCGAATATTGCGACTATTTTATCATTTTTATCACGACGAGTCCATGACCTCCACTCATTACTGCAGACATTGACGACTCTCATGACAGAGCGAGTCCTTCCATTATTAAAGTCCTGTTAGGGTTAGGTCTGACCAATCAGCTGACGATTCTGCTCCGGAAATAGAGGCAACAATAAAGCTCCAAAAAACTGCAAAAACGTCTCGAGTCCCCTGAACGTTCGAGTTCTTTTCCTGCAGTAATAATTAATTCCCTCAGCAAAAAACTAATGAAAAAGTCACAATGAGCGGTTCACTGTTCCAGCAAACAGTGAAGACACCGAAGCAGCTGTACAAGTTCCTCCTCCGTTCGTGCGAACAACTACCGAAGGCTCCTCAGGCGTTCTACAAGCACTCGATCAAGCAGGTGAGCCATAATTCATTGTAATTAATGAATATTCATGCTTATTCAGGTCTTCTAGACTGCATAAACTTCATGTTGGAGGGGTTATGTGTGCTTTTAACCTCAAATTCGGCTCTCAGATCTGTTTTTTATTGATGATGATTGATGATTGATGTTGCAGAGCTTTAAACAACATGTTAACGAGCCAGACCCCGAGAGGGTGAGGCAGATAATGGAAAAGTCGTTGAGTGATGCTGAATGGTTTTTTAAGAAGGTATAAATTAATTACATTTGTTTATTGATTTCGTAGGGAAGGGGAAAAAATTGAAAAGAGATGTTTTACGATTTATCCGCAGAATAATTGATTTTATGAGAAAATGTCAAAAGGGAATTGAATTTACAAACAAAATTCATTTGCAATTATTTAACGACAAATGCCACTCATGCCCAGAATTTATACGAAATTTTGGAATTGAATTTATCTTTTATGAAGTTGGAGAATGATTTTTTTTTTTGAAACCCAATTCTCATGATAATTTATTTTTCCTATTCTCTTGAACTCAAGTTCAAATCTATACTCTTAATATTTTAATTTCTGGTATAATCTTCTCTCAATCCTTTTTAAATGAATTTCTTCACAAAATTCGGATAAAAACAACTCTCAGTCTAGCTTTATCCAGTAAATATTGACGGTTTTAGCTCAATTTTTTGAACAATCTCTAAAGATTATTTCCTTATTTTGCTTTAAAGCCATTACTTCTGCTTCTAAACCACTCGTTCTTCAAATAATTCCATAAACAGCTCAAGCAATCCAACCACTTCTCTCTCTTTTCCCTAATTTCGTCTCAATCCACCTCTCCAAACCACTAATTAACGCCCAATAAATCTTCATTTCAGTACAAAATCGACGTCGACTCCCTGCTATCAAAACCCCCCAAATAACCCACAGAATCATGGAATACCACTTGTCAACCCAAGAGATCACCGTCCCCCCTCCCCAATTCTGGAAGACAATTGAGTTATGGATCAACAACCCTCACCTTATCAACCGCCGAGTCTTATCGTCGGTCACCCTCTCTAGATCGCAATTAAGCACCCCTGACGCTCTTCTGGATCGACTCCAGCATATTCCTGTGGAGAAACTATCAGCTTCACCAGTCCTTCCCGACATTTTTCCCCTCGCAACTTCATCTCCAGAGGACATCGATCCCTTCGCCACCCCAGAGGGTCACTACCTATTCATAAGGAAATTATTTCCTCGAGACGAGGACAATTTTTCGACAACTGTTGATTTTTTCATTCTCGACAAATCAAAATCGTCTGTCACGTGGGTCTCAAGGAGTTTGGACCCAGAAAAACGTTGTCTGGGGTTTCAAATGCCTTGCAGAATAACTCTGCAGGACAAAAACCTGAGAATGTCAATTGGAAACAACTCCAGGGGACCTGCAGAGGACGCAACTCTCAATTGGCTGAAGGAGAGACTCTTCCCCAGACTAGTGAAATGGATGGAAGCTGATCCCCCGAAGAATAATCTCGTCGAAGGATCCCTAAACCTGGTGTCACCAGAGAAATACACGAATTTATACAACAGTTTGAAGAAGAAATATGGGACTGAGCTCGTGGACAAATGGCCAGAGTGCACAGACCCAGCGAAATTTGTGTACGAAGACATTGCGATCGCCTCTTACTTGATTTTACTCTGGGAAGAGGAGAGGAGGGAGAAGGGAATCGACGAGAAACAGTCATTTTTGGATCTTGGGTGTGGAAATGGACTGCTGGTGTTTATTCTGACGAGCGAGGGGTATCCAGGGGTGGGAATCGATCTTAGGAGACGAAAAATCTGGGATTTATTTGGCGATACGAGATTGGAAGTGAGTTTAATCACAATCGATTAAACTCATCGATTAATTGATTGTTTAATTTTTCAATTTTTTGCATCAATTTTTTCAATTACATCACTTATCATTTTATTTCTCCGTTCTATTATTTCCTTGTTATTCATTCATAAATCTATACTATTTACTTATTATTATTATTATTATCATTATTATTTTATTGATCTTGCAAATGTCCTGGAAATCCTGCGATTTAAAGAAAAATGACCAAAGTAATTTTTTGTGAAGAGAATTCTGTTGTTTACAAAATTATTTTCACTATTTCTTTAGTTTTCTTTTTCATACTCATCATCAACAAATTAAATCATTAATCTTGAAATATTTAATCGTTTTCTCTGTTGCCTGCAGGAAAAAACAATAATTCCATCATCAAAATCGCTATTCCCCACGACCGATTGGCTGATCGGTAATCACTCAGACGAGCTGACCCCCTGGATCCCAGTGATAGCAGCTAGAAGCTCCTACAGCTGCAGATTCTTTCTACTCCCCTGTTGTGCCCACGAATTCGATGGTAGAAAATTCCAGAGGGAGTCTGCTTCGAGTAGTCAGTACTCAGAGTACCTCAGGTACATTAGAAAGGTCTGTGAGACCTGTGGGTTCTCCACAAAGCTCGATAAACTGCGGATTCCCTCGACCAAGCGAATCTGCCTCATCGGTGTAGGCCGGAATTACCCTGAGGTTGAGACAGACTCCCAGGACGAAAAAATCGAGGAAATGATCAGCGCAAGGTCCCTGAGCCCTCAGGAGAACGAGAAAGCCTCGGACGAATGGGCGAGGGACTTCAAGCCTCGAGAGATCGTCGAGAGAGTCAGGAACTGCACGCAAGTCGATCGGAATGTCATCAACGAGATAGTGGAGCTTGTCTCCACGGAGCTTCTGCGAAAGACTCGAAAAATCACCCTGAATCGCCCAGGGGACTCTGAGGGACTCTGGAACGCTGGGGGGCAGTTGGAATTGAACGAAATAGCGAGACTGGTCCCCCCAGAGAGCCTCAAGCAACTGAAAAACGAGTGTGGAGGTCTGCAGACTCTTATGAAAAACAACAGCCACATATTCCAAGTGACAAACGGTTCTGTGCAGTTCAGAATTCCAGGCTCTCCCTCAAATTCCAAAAGAAAAAAATCAGGAAGATCGAAAATTGTGTTGAGAGTCAAGCCCTGTTGGTTCTTCGACAATCATCCTGATGGGTGTCCCCTCCCCGATGAAACCTGCAACTTCAAGCACTCCCCAAAAGTTGTAATTAATTAGTAATAAATTACGTTGCTTATTATTAAAAATCAATTTCGTCAATTTCGAATTGCAGAATCGAAGATTTATTTGTACAAGAGGACAATGATTTTTACAAAATAATTGGAAATATGAACACAAATTTTTCCACCGATTACAAAAGCGAATACATAATGCAGTATAAAAAACATTATCACAATTCCATTAAATTAATGGATTGCCCCTACTATTGGCATTCTAGGATGTGCCATCTGAACGAAACAGTGAGATTAGTCTTCCCAGAGAGCCTCAAGCAACTGAAAAACGAGTGTGGACAAACGATTCTGTTCAGTTCAGAATTCCAGGCTCTCCCTCAAATTCCAAAAGAAAAAAATCAGGAAGATCGAAAATTGTATTGAGAGTCAAGCCCTGTTGGTTCTTCGATAATCATCCTGATGGGTGTCCCCTCCCCGATGAAACCTGCAACTTCAAGCACTCCCCAAAAGTTGTAATTAATTAGTAATAAATTACGTTGATTATTATCAAAAATCAATTCCATCAATTTCGAATTGCAGAATCGAAGATTTATTTGTACAAGAGGACAATGATTTTTACAAAATAATTGGAAATATGAACACAAATTTTTCCACCGATTACAAAAGCGAATACATAATGCAGTATAAAAAACATTATCACAATTCCATTAAATTAATTGATTACACCTACTATTGGCACTTTCTCCTAGCCTCAACTAGCCACAAAAATAGCTGTTCCCAGTATTTTCATCGGCAATCCATAAACATTATATACAATTCTTCGGCATTTTCACGAGAAAATGAAACGATTTGATCTTCGACCTCTTCACTTGAGGAATTCAACCAGAGAAATATCGTCCAAACTCAGCAGCCTATTGACACTCATCTGATTATCGACATCCTGCGTGACTTTAGCACTCAACTGCTGTCCCCTCCTCAGTTTCTTCCCCTCGGCGGTGTCCAGCTGGTGCACCCTCCTGAGGTGGGTCCGGAGGTTGCCCTTCTGCGTGAAAGAATAATCGCAGTGAGGGCAGGAGTAGGGCCTGTCCCCAGTGTGATGCTTCTGGTGCATCTGCAGCGTGACCTTCTGAGCGAAAGACTTGGTGCACAGCTGGCACTTGAAGGGCCTCTCCCCAGTGTGAATCCTCTTGTGTCTCGCCACCTGACAGGGCTTCATAAAAGTCTTCCCACAGACGTCACACTCCTTCTTCGTGGGGCTCTTCCCTTTGCTCTTCTGCACTGGGGGCTGCGGCCGTTGATCCGAAGCCTCAATCGTCGCCTCCGGCATCTCCACCAGAGCCATGCAGGTGTCCAGTTGCAGCTGGGACTCCTGACCCCCAGGAATCTCCAACTGCGTCGACAGCATGAGATTCTCATTGACCTCTAGGTTCTCACCAATCAAATTAGCATCCTGACTGATTAAATTCCCCTCTTGATTGATTAAACTCGTGTCTTGGGGGATTAAATTCTCCTCCTGATTGATTAAACTCGTGTCTTGGGGGATTAAATTCTCCTCCTGATTGATTAAACTCGTGTCTTGGGGGATTAAATTCTCCTCCTGATTGATGCTCCCCTCGTTCAACTGCAGCAGTGCAGATTCGTCCGTCTGAATGGTGACGAGACCACTGCTGAGTAAAAACTGGAGATTGGCGACGAGTTGGTTGGACTCATTGACAGACAGAACTGAATTGTTATTGACTATCGTTCCATCAGGGTTGAACGTCAATTGATCCCCAATGCCAGTGGCATCAATGGTGATGGTGTCGATATTCGGATAATCTGGCTCCAAGGCGTTTCCAGGATTGACCTTCACACTGTTCACCTCGGGCTCTTGGGGAGCCTCGGGCTTCTGATTTTTTTTCTGTCTCTCCCTTCGTCTGCTGCCGTTATCTCCGGTGCTCTTGGTGTGCGTGACCATGTGGACCTTTCGGTGGCCCGAGGTCCTGAACCTCTGGTCGCAGATTGGACACTTGAAGGGCTTCGAGCCAGTGTGCAATCTCATGTGGACCTTCAAGCTTCCCTTCGTCGCGAAGAGACTGTTGCAGACGTGACAGCAGAAGGACTTGGTACCCTCGTGCACCTTCATGTGACAGTCCAGGGTGCATTTGACTGCGAAACTCTTGTCACAGTGGGTGCATTGGTAAGGACGCTCGCCAGTGTGAGTCCTTATGTGGCGGATTAAGTCGCTGGGCTTTCGAAATGTCTTGGGACAGTATTCACATTTGTTCGTGTACTCCTTCTTTTCTTTGTCGGCTTCGGCATTCAGGGGTCTAATTGTGTTGCGCTCGGCCACTGAATCCATCAGGACTCTCTCAGATACTGAAATTTGAGGAGGAAGATTGTGTGAAGGGATGGAATTGACCGATTTATAGGGGAAGTTATTGAGAATAAATTGAAATGTGAGAGGGCACACTCCAATGTGAGAATTTTTTGGAAATTTACGTCATAAGTGTATTTGAATTGCCAATTTATGAATTTAAAATCAATTTTAGATGAAACCGTTAACGGATTTTTTTGTTGTGATGTTGTGGAATTGACGATTTGAAGGAGAAATTATTGAAAAGAAAATTGAATTGCAATGTTAGAAATTTTTGGGAATTTATGTGATAACTGCATCTGAATTATCAGTATTGTGAATTTAAAATCAATTTGAGATTAAACTATCGACAGATTTTTTTATTTAAAAGAAAAATTTTAAAAAATGAAAACGAAAGAAAAACTCCTTTCGATTTTTCAATTTTGTTAAATTTAACGTAACTCGAGAGTAAATGGTTTATAGAATTTCTTATTCATCACAAAAATGCAAAAAAAATAGTTTTCCATTTAAAACAATCATTGATATTTCAATGATAGCTTCAATTCTCACACCGATAATAACAATTGAATATTGAAATAAATAAATAAATAAATAAATAAATAAAAAATTAACGAAAAATTCAAAACCCTCTCTCAAAATTACAGCAGTAAAAAAAACTATCACTTCATTACATAACAAACCTGACGAATCAGTTGCATCAGTCCTGGACTTCAACGTCAACAAATCGGGATCAACACTGACGGGTTCCTTCTGTGAGCTATCAGGCTCAATATCAGTCGCTGGATCCCACGAGATCGTCTCATGACATTTCACGTGTAATTTCAGCTGCGCCTCACTGGGGAGTGTCTCCAGACACGTGGGACACTTGTGCGCCTCCTGTTTGTTATGTACTTTAAGATGTCGAGTCAATCCCCCATTGGTGCAGAATTTCAACGAGCACTCAGGGCACTGAAACTCCCTGGAGCCCCGATGGCTCTTCAGATGAGTCTTCAGTGCAGCCGCAGTGAACGCCTTCTTCAAGCAGAGGTGGCACTGCAGCAGCGAGTCCTGAGGCTTTGGCACCTCCGGTGGATTGAAGAGGGTCGAGAGGTCTCTCTCCACCTGACGACTGACCTCTGAATCAGTCTGAAAGGCCCCAGGAAGAGCACACGATTGATCAACAGTCGAGTCGTTGTCCAGATTCAAAAGCCCACTGGTATCAGTCGTGTCAGCTTTTGCGATGATTTTCGGGTACTTGGGGCACGCTGGAACCGAAGGAATGGCCTCTGACCCCTGGGGCACGGACGACACCACCACCAACTGCCCATGAGACTTCCCCTGATTGTCGATGGCTCCACAGGACACTGGAATCATCCTCTGCTCCTCCTGCGCTGATCTCGGCAGAATGCTCGCCATACTCGTGGAATTTGCTGAACTTATGCCCATGTCAATTTCCGCGTCCGCCTGAATAAGCAGAGAGATTGAATTTTAGGTGAATTGTGGCTATTTCTGGAGTGCTGGGGTTTATGACTTGCCTGGAGAGTTATTTGACTCATGTCAAATGTGTCGAAATGAGGTGATCCAAATATACTTGGGTTTATGGTGGGGGGAGGGGGGTCCAGGACTTTTTGGCTGTCGTAGATTATGTTCAATACTGGGGGCTGGGGGGAGTCGGTGGTGTCGGTTATCTGGCGGGGGAGGGGAGGGGGCAGGTGGAGATTGGCCAGGCCGATGTTGAAAAGCTGCTGATTGAGGGTCTCCTCGATCTCACGAATGCTCTCCTGGAATAGATGGAGTTTATTCATTGGTTAATTGGCTTTGTTTTGGTGAGGGGATTCAGGGGGATTTATTGGACATCTAGGGGAGTTTTAAGGGGTTTGGGAATCATTTTGGGGAGATGAGGGATATTTGATACGACGTGAATGTATTTAGAATGATAATAAATCGTAAATTTAGACTCTAAATTTTAGAGGGTTGAAGAGGAAATATACATACTGCTGTTAGTGTTTGTTCTCCGATGTAATTTGGGAGGGTGATTGTGCCCGTTTCGTCGGCGTGAAGGGTTTGAGACACTGGTGGCAAATTTCCTGCGGAATATATTGTCGATTAATTAACTGGGAGTTGATGATTTGAATGAGAAATATCGGAGAATTAAATACTGAAGTTTTGAAGAAGAAAAATAGTGAGGAAAATGTATATTTTTTTCCAGTTCTTTCAATTCATGATTTGTAATGAAACTGGTGATTCAAATAAACGAATGAAACAAATAAAATCAATTTGAAATTACCATCAGCAGCCTCCCCCTTCGCCCCAATGGCCTCCAGTCCCCCGGCAAATGCCTGTTCAAAATCAGCATTCATATTCCCCTGGAACTCAACGAGATCTCCTCCGAGGGTCAGCTCCTCCCTGATCCCCTCCTCCTGGCCACTCTTCTGCTTCTCCAGCTGCTGCTGTGCGAGCTCATTCTTGTGTATCTTCATATGCTTCCTGCAGTTCACCGACGTCTTGAAAGTCTTGTGACAGTACGGACACATGAAGGGCCTCTTATTGCTGTGCGTCACCAGGTGCCTCTTCTGGCTGCTCTGGGTGGAGAACGAAGCGTCACAGACGTTACAACTGAAGGGCTTTGCGGCCTCGTGGGTGTGAAGATGAGCTTTCAATACACTGTTAGAAGTGAACCTGTAATAGTATTTATTTAGTTTTCAGTTCATTTATTTATTCAATTCAATTCATTTATTCTCTTAATTTGAGGTAAAAGTTTTTTCTTTGTTGAACTGTAGGTATAGATAACTATAGATATTATTACATAATAATAATCCAATAAAATTTTTAGCAATTTTTGTATTATTGCATTTCGATTGAATGGATTCAAAAAATACAAAAGAATCGAAATCGACAGTGGAAAATTTTGTCGGTATCCAGAGCAAAAATTTTCAAATTTCACAATTTCAATTTTTCTTTTCAAGTAATTGAAGGCTGAGAAGAATGAGAATGAGAGGGAATGGAAAAATTTCAGATGAAAGTGCTTGCCAAAAAAACAAAAAAGTTGTTTTTTCAATGTCTGCGAAAAACATTAAAATTGCCTATTTCTTCTTTAATACTTCAAAAATACCCATAAATTCGTGTTTTATTATTGCATTTCGATCAAATGAATTGAAAAAATATAAAAGACTGTAAATCGAAAATGAAAATTTTTATCGGATTATCACAATGAATAGTTATACTTATAAATATCGATTACAATAATTATTTCAACGGGGATATACAATGCATTTCATGCATTCATGAGGAATGAATGCTTTTTTAATAGTAAAAAACTGAGGCCCAACAATACTCTAGCGTGATAAAAATTCCAAGAAATATTCTAGATATTTCAGACAAAAATAAAACACCCCAAGTCATCACTATCTCTGGCAATTTTCAACTTTACAAAAATGATCTGTTACAAACCTCCTTTCGCATTTGGAACATTTGTACGGTCTCTCCCCCGTGTGCCTCCTGTAGTGCTGCTTGAGATGGCTGATCTTCCTGAAGGCAGCAGAACAGACCCAGCACTTGTGGGGCCTGTTGCCCTCCTCCTCCCCATCATAAACATGCCTCTGCTTGCTCTGCACCTGTGCCACACTGATCTTATTGCCCGCATCGGAGATGACCAGTGGCTCCTCCAGGACAATCTGAGGTACGAGCCTCTCAGCCTCTGGGCACAACTTGTTCTTCTGCTTCGAGTGGCCCTTCAAGTGGCTCTTCAAAGCCGTACTCGTGCTGAATGTCATGTCACAGACATCGCATTTGTGGGGTTTCGTGTGGGTCCTAGTGTGGGCTGTCAAGCTACTGTGGCAGGAGAACATTTTTCCGCAGATGCCGCACGAGTACTTCTTCGTGCCAAAGTGCGTTCGCTCGTGGGTCTTCATCGTGGACTTGAGGGCGAACGATCTGTGACAGTGGGAGCACTTGAAGGGCTTCTCCTGGGTGTGCACCCTGAGGTGACGAATCAGGTCCGAGGGCTTTTTAAATTCTTTGTGGCAGAACGAGCAGGAGTACCACCTGATGGAGCCTATTCTCCTTTGTTTTATCGTGACGTATTTCCTGAAGGAGCCGTCTGGGGTGCGGTCCACCAGGGTGACGTAGGACGTCTGGGATTCCGGTCTTTTCGGGGTGTCGGAGGACTTCTCCTTGGAGGTCAGGCCACTGTTCGTTAACGCCTGCTGGAGAATGTCGTTCTTCGATAACTGGTCCAGCGTCGAGTCTGAGGATTTTAGTGCAGGTCTAAATATTAGAAAACCCCAGCGAATTCAACAGGGAATTCTATTGCACAAGCGAAAAGGAAGTCGAAGTGAAAATCTGCATTTTTTCAAGTTCTATGCGAAATTCCGGAAATCCTCACGTATGAAAATCCATTAGAAAAAAACAGCGAATTTGTTGGAAAATTCTATTGGATTTCTGGGGAGTTTCTATTATTATTTGACCGGTTCTCATCTTTTTTTCAATAGGAAATATTCTGTAGAAAAAATTGATAGAATTTGATTTCTCTGTGTAACGTATTCTATTGAGATATTTTCTACGGAAATTCCTCGGCTCAAATCTTCTAATTTTTTTGTTTTCTTCTAAGGAAAAAAAGGAAAATACAGTGAAAGAAAATTACAAAAATCATTTCGAGAATTGCTGCAGAAAATTGTACTGACTTTTGCTGTGAAATAATTTCACAGAGAACTCATGTCACCGACAATGCGTCATCTACTTCATTAGGATTTTTCCGAAGATAAATCAATATATTGATTGAATTCCGAAGATTATGTGAGGGAAAATTTTCCAAGAACATTATGAGGCCAACATATGTTTACTAAATTTGCAATATAATAATAAATAAATGATGGTAAATTGTTAAATGCAAATTTTCATAAATGTCATTGCAATTACAGTAACAATAATTATAATGCCTCTGCATTTTGCCCTCAATTATCAGAAATGTTGAAAAAAATCCTAAACACTCACAATTCCACAGTAATATAACTTCCTTTAATAAAATTAAAACCGTAATAATTACGACGAAGATTACATAATGAAAGATTTTCCACGAAAATTATGGTACCAACATATTGTTGGGGGACGAAACTGGAATCCTCAGTGATATGAAAATTTGCAATATATTAAATAATAATAAATAAATGATGTTAAATTTTCGAACGCAAATGTTCATAAATATCATTGCAATTACGGTAGCAGTAATTACAATGCCTCTGCATTTTTTATCAGAAATGTTGAAAAAAAAGCCTAAACACTCACAATTCCACAGTAATATAACTTGTTTTGATAAAATAAAAACAGTAATAATTACGACAGATACCTGGGGATTTAATACTGGATGTGGGCGTCTCGGTGGAGCTGTCGCAGGTCGGGGGATCCTCCGCGGGAACTGCGTGCGTCCTCTTCATGTGTCCGTTCAGGGAGCCCAGTTTTTTGAAGACACAGCTGCATTGGGAGCACGCGTACGTGGGCTCACCTTCGGGGGCGCTGTGCACCCGAAGGATGTGCGCGTTTAGGTTTCCCTTTTGGGAGAATTTTGCACTGCAGTGGGGACAGGGGTATGGACGCACACCCACGTGACGCCACATGTGGATCTGCAGGGAGCTCTTCTGCGAGAATGCTCGAGTACAGATGGTACACTGTTGGGAATATCGTTGGTTTTATTATGAATTATGTAAAAGGGGAATTGAGAAATTGTTTCGAGAGGTTTATGAATTTTTTTTTTCGATTTGCTTTGAAAATTATGCAATTCTTTTTATTAGTTATGCAATTTTGACATCCCATTTTAAAAATTATTATGTAATTTTATTTTATATTAAATTCAATAGATGTGAATTTCTCCATAAATTGAGCTACGATTTCATCATTTTTTTTTGCATTTTGCAATGGGAAATAAAAACAATTGCACTAGAAAAACTTGAAAATTTTGAGCCCCACAATTTCTATAGAAGTCTTGAGAGAATGAGTCACGTAAGAAAATCGAAATCTATAAGTTTTTCGGATAGAATTTTAATAGAATTCTCAGTTCCAAATTGAGCATTTTTTTCGAAAGAGGAAAAGGGGTAATTCAACAGTGAAAAGTTCGACGAGTAATTTTTATCTGAAAATTTTCATTTCGATAAATCAAAAAGTGGCAAAAAAAATTATTAAACGAGACCTGGGGTGTGCTACACACCCCAAGCGTGTTGAGTTTTTCTTCAAATTGTTTATCAATTTTTTTGTCAATGTCTTCATGAAAATTGTGGTATTTCCCTCATTTCCAAGATATTCAACAAACATCAAAATAATTGAATGCATTAAACGATGAATAAAGCTATTGAATGGAGTGGTGTTAATGAAATTACTGAATGAATTAAGTTTAAAATTTACTTTGTACGGTTTTTCCCCAGTGTGAACTCGAATGTGTCTCATCAGCTGTGACGGTTTTTGAAACACCTTCATACATATTTTACACTTGTAGATAGTCTTCTGAGTAGTTCCACGCTTAGTCTGCTTCATAATCTTGGTCTGCAGCTACACGAGACAGAAAATTTGAGATAAGTATGAAGCATTTTGTGAAACGACATAATATCGCGGGGAGTCACTCTTAACTCCCCGATTCCATTCATTGTGATACTCGGAGTGAATATGAGGAGTTGATAGATGAGCGCGGGGGGGGGATGGTATGTTGGAGAGTGCTCACCCTGTAGTGCTCTCGGATATGGAGACGATAAAGAGCGGGTTGAGTGAATTGTTTGTTGCAGAGTTTGCACTTTCTGACGTCCTCCGATGACCATTTCTCATTGTGAAGCTTCAAGTGGGCATCGAGTTGTGCCTGGAACATGAATGAAAGGAGATAAATATGAAAATGTGAATGTGAAGAAGGAAAATGTCCAATAGTAATTCAATGAAGAAGTGGAAGAAGAATAAACAAATCCATAGGATTTATTATTTACGAAAGGAAAAAAAATCCTCGAAACTACTGGATTTTTTTCCAATCTCAAATGACATTTTTTGGGGGCAAATTATATTTTTTATACAAATTGACGATATACAGAGATATTATCTTGTAAATGGAAAAGGTCAACACATTTTTGTTCTGAACAATTAAAAATTCATTTGACTTTTTTTTTCTAAGCCCGATGGTTTCTGAGATGTTTTCAAAATAATGTATATATAATTTTTCCACTCTTGCAAGTCTATTTTTGTTTAAAATCGTACATATGACAAAATTTCGTAGCAAAACCTGGCAAATTCGCCGGAAAATTTTGGCTGATTCTGCGCTTTTTTTTATAGAAATGTCCAATAGAAACTGTTCTATCAAAAAAATCAATAGAATTCCTCGACTCAATTTTTCCAAGTTGTTTTCGTTTCAGTCTTCCACTGAAAAAAAAGAAAAATGGAGTGAAAACATTCGAAAATTGATGTCAAGGAATTCCTACAGAAAATTTCTCAATCGAAAGTTGTATAAGAGAAGATGGAATTAACTGGTAGAAAAAAAATGAAATTTCAATGAAATTCCAAAATTTTGAGAAGCACGAAGACAGGGATTCCTCGGTTTGTTTATTTTTTGAGGAAAATCAATTATCAATTATTAATTGATAATTAATAATGATTAATTTAAATATTTACCGAAATTTTCAGGTTTTCTATTAATTTTCAGAGAATAATTGAACTAAAATTAACATCTCTGATTGATTTTCCCCGAAATTCAGAATTTTCAACGACAGTATTCCGTGGAATTTCATTGTAACTTATATGTGATTATAATTTCCGAAATGTGTACCAGAAATTTAAAGTAAAAATTCTTAACAGAATTCAATTAATTTTTCCTATGAAACAATTTCGACCGGACATTCTGTTCAATCGAAACAGCTTTTTGTTACTTATCAAAATAACCCCAATAGAATTTCCAATAGAAGTTCACAAGAATTTTTGTACAAATTCCCTAGGTTTTTCACCGAAATTTTGTCGTACGTGTTCACGATACTTTTCTCTAAACCCAATAGTTCCTACGATATTTTGAAAATGAACTCATTCCCCGCATTCATTCTCGAATTTGTTTCTATTCTTAGCCACAATACCTTGTAATATTGAGCGCTGAGCCCTAAGGCAAAATGAAAAACACGTGAGCATATGAGTAAAAGCGCAAAATTAACACAGTCGACGGCGAGCGTCATCGTACAGGACGGAAGTCTTTTAATAAAATCATATAAACGCTTTTTCGTTGAACACTTCTGGCTAACGTTGAACACAAACGAACACTTTTATTGCGATTATTTTAATCTCAGTTACGGTGAGTCCATTGCACTTTGCAGTTTACATCACGAATTGCGGGTTCGATCCTTCCCCAGAAGGACTCCCCTGTTTACTCTATCACTCCAGACATTTCTGTTCACCATCGTTCTCAATTTACGAGTCTCTATTGATGTTCAAAGACAATCCAGACTCAGCAACACGAGTTTATTACCGTCTCCGTCCTTAATCACAACTTTTTACTCATTTTTCCTGTTGAAATAATTTTTTTTTCGTGAATAAAAGCCAAACTTTTGCTTGAAAAATCGAGAGAACACTCGAAACGCGATGTTCTCTCTCGGAAATCTGTTCACTCTCTGGGGTAATTTGGAATGGACCACAGGGCAGGGTTATCAGCATCTCGACTTCCGGATGTGACATCCGATTCATCTCAGCGTGTGGGATTTTTCCCCAGTTAAAAATCCCTCAAGTTTTGTATTACCCTCGGCAATCGTCTGTTCGACTGCACTTGCATTCAGTGCATCTCGTATTATTAACGCAGATCAATTGCGGTGTCAAGTCCTCTCATTGTCTCAGAGAAACGAAATACAAGAGATAAAAAAAATTGGACGAAGCGAAAGGGGAATCGAGATAGAAATCTGCATTCCGGGGGTCCTCACGTACGAAAACGTTTCATAAAAAATGAATAGCGAATTTGTTAGGAAATTCAACGAGATTTCTGGGGAAATTTACTAGAAAAGTCCAATAAAAAATATTCTATGGAAAAAAATTTATAGAATTTAATGAGATTTTTCCATTCTTTGTCATAAAAAATAATGAAATGAAATTTTTTTGAGGCAATTTCATGATTTCAACAATTTCAAATCGTAAATTATTTTTTCTACTCATCAAGACGTGATTTATGGGCCACTTTTACCCCTCGAATTCCCAAAAGGTTCACTGGTTTAATTTTATCTCTCGTTTGTTTCGCCCCTCTGAAAATCGTCGACTAGATTAATTCTCATTATTATCGCAGATGTTTAGTTTCCCCTCCCAGATTGAGTGGTTTTATCGAGAAGAAATGCCGAGGAATGGGTGAAGTGAGATACCCCCACGTTATCGATACCAAGAGTTTGGCTCCAGACGATAATGACGGTCCTAAATGGCAGGATGATAGGCTCTTTTGAGTTAACCCGGCTCTCACAGACCATTTCACGAGAGCAATGAACTCTTTTTATAAATTATGTACTTCGATTTATTATTGCGAGGGCTTTAACACGTAATATCTTCATTTTTATGGGCTAAATAAGAATGTTCACGATGAAATAAACTATATCAATAACAAATCGTGAAAGAATATCAATCCACTTCTTCTTGAACTCAGTTTTTATCAAACAATTCATTTTAATACTGATTTAATCAATTAATTAATTGATAGCTATTCATTAATTGATTCTGCGAATGACGTTTAAATAAACCAATGCATAAAAATAAATCTGAAATAATTATGAAAATGAATCAAAGCTGGGATCAATGAAGTCTCCACTTAAATTTAATAATGATTTAATTAATTAATTGATACTCATTCATTAATTAATTCTCCAATCGATGTTTAAAACAATCATTGTGTAAAAATAAGTCTGAAATAAATATGAAAATAAATCAAAGCTGGAATCAATGAAGTCTCCAGGCAATAACTTCGTTACATTTTAATCATTCGACTTCGAGAAATGATTGAATTCTTAATTGAATCATTATTCTCCCCTCGATTGCGTGGATTCTGGTTCTAGTGCTCTTGTTGCTGATAAAATTTCGAGGTGGCATTAACCCCGGGTTGTAATTTCATGGAATTCCGCCTCTAACGAGTCTCGATCCAGAGCGCCGATTATTGCACGCTTACAACTCGGTACAAGCGATCATTTTTCAACGAGTCTTTCCCTCATGCATCGCGTCAACCTTGTGGCAATATTGGTGGTACCTCGGGTTATGCACCCAGGATGCCTTTAAAAGGAGACGATCATTCGCATCTCTTCCTTTATTTATATTTTTTTTTCGCCATGGACTTTCGCCGAGAGTGCGAATCACCGCTGGGAAATGGGAATAAAAAAAATGTTGGAGGTGGCTTTTTTGGGGACGTGCTGGGTTGTGGAAAAATTTATGGCTGATAAAAAACTCAGAATTTAATTCAATTCGCGTTATCATCTTGAAGAAATTGATGGATTTGCGGAGAATATTAAAAAGAATTTTTATGGGGGAAATTGGTTATACGATTTTTTAATTGAAAATAAAAATAATGAGGATGAGAATAGAAATGAGAATTTTTTTTTGAGTGAACATTAATGGAATGTAATGGACAAATTTTTACGCGAAAATTGATTGATGAAGCCCTTTGAATAATGAGAAAAATGAATTCATGTTGAAGCAGAAATGAATTAAGGGACACATTTATTTCCATTTTTTGGGAAATTTTGATTCAACATCAATGAAATTTCATCCTAACGTGCAATAAAATTAGAAACAAGAGAATGAAATCGACATTTTTTCTTGAATTGTAGAAAAAAAATTAAAAAATTTCAATTTAAAATTCATTTACAACGACACTTATATTTATTTTTCAGGTATTTCGGTTGGAAATCATCAAATGTCTCGTCAAAAAGCCACAAAACTTCATACCTCGCGTAAAAAAGGGAAAAACCCATTCACTCATAAATGAAAAATTCTCACTTTTCCATACAAATCGGTTCCCCGTTGAATAAGCAATCAACCTATAGCTAGCAAAATGGTATTCACGGTTTGACATGCACGCAGCAGCGATAAGGAACGGACAAATTTTGAAGCGAAAATTGATTAATGAAGCCCTTTATTTTCATCTTTGCGATATTTTCATTTAAAAAAAAATGAATTTCAGAAAGAAAATGTCATCAATTTTTTTTTCATGAATAATGAGAAAAATGAATCAATGTTGAAGCAAAAAATTAATTAAGGGACACATTTATTTCCATTTTTTGGGCAATTTTGATTCAAAATCAATAAAATTTCATCCTAAAATGCAATAAACATGGAAAAAGAGAATGAAATGGAAATTTTTTTCTTGAATTATGTGAAAAAATAAAAATTTGTCAATTTAACATTCGTTTATAAGGACACATATTTATTTGTCAGGTATTTCGGTTCAAAATCGTCAAATGTCGCGTCCAAAAGCCACAAAACTTGATACCTCGCGTAAAAATACTACGACTCATGAATGAAAAATTCTCACTTTCCCATACAAATCAATTCCCCATTGAATAAACAATGAACCTATGGCTAGTAAAATGGTATTCGTGGTTTGACATGCACGCAGCAGCGATAAGAAAACGTGTCGCGGAATAACGCGGCGTTAAAGGGCAGCTGGAGTACTTCACATTCTCCGACGGGTACTTCATAATAACCAATGCGTTTTACTCCCAATAAAAAAATATTAAGCACGAAATGACATGACAGATGGAGATGGAGTCTGAGGTGTCCGGAGGACATTGGACAATGCGAGCGCTGGAACCGGTGGGAATTGAGGCACGAGAAAAAAGGATGAGGACATTTGGCAGAGGGTGCACGGGTCCT